GGCGAGAGCGGCCGAGTCCCCGCCCCGCCACTTCCGGTCTTGCCGCCCGGAGCCGGTGCGGCTGTTAGGGGCTGCGTTTCGCCGCCGCCGGTTGGCCGGGCATGGTGTTGGGCGCCGGGCCCGCCTCGCCTGTCTCGGGGTGCCCAGGTGAGGAGCGCGCGGCCGTGCGGTGGGCGAGGGGCTGCCACGGGCTGGAGGGTGGCTCGGCTCCCGCGGCGCCGCTGCACCCGGCGGGCGGGCCGGAGGGCGGGCGGCGCCGGGGCCGCCACAGGCCGTGCGGGTCCTCGCGGCCGGGCGTCGGGGGCCGGAGGGCGGGCGGACGCTGCGGGGCGTGGGCCGGGGGGCGCGGGGCTGGGTCCGGGGCGCTGGCCGCGGCCGGGCTCCAGGGGCAGCGCGCCCCGAGCCCGGACCTGTGCCGGGCACATACACTGCCTCGCTCGCGCCCGCCGTCGCGGGGGAGCTGCGAGCCGCATTGTCCGGGAGGAAACGCAGCGCCGAGTGAGCCCAAGGTCACCGGCCCGACGTGGCCGGAGGCAAGGGGACTCGGACTCAGGCAGCCGGACTCCTGATCGTCTGGGAATCGGGCTAGGCCAGGGGGACGCTGAGGGTGAGGAGGAGCCCGGCTGCCGCCTCGCCAACTTGCCTGCGGCTTCCCCACAACCGGGGGCGACCACGGCTGGTTTGGAGGGTCTTCTCGGGCCAGAGGAGCGGGGAGGACATCTTGGACCGATCCGTACGGCCAAGTCTGGTGTGTAATCTTGGGTGTGGCCCCACCCTCCCTGGGTCTCAGTTCCCTCATCCGTCCCACGAGGGGATCGGGTCCGCCCTTCTGCCTTCCCTCCAGCGTCGGAGTGGGGTCAGGTTGGACTGGAGTGGCCGGAGAAGGCTTCTTGGAGGAGAGGTAGGAGTCTGGGTGGTCATCTGTTACCCTAAGGAAGCAGCAGGATTAGGTGGTGAAGGGAGGGAGGGCATTCCAGACCTGGATGTCAGAGTGAGCAGAAGCTTCCAGAAACGAGCGGGGTGTTGTTGAGGAACAGGGAGGAGGCCCACCTACCTTGTGCAGAGGATTCGTGGCTGAGTAAGGGGATGATGGCAGGGGAAGGGCACAGGTTGGGGAGATGTTCAGAGACAGAAATCATCACTAGGCCAAGTGGTGCAGGGCTGGACATACCTGCTGCTCAGGTAGTAGGCAGTGCAGGAGGAGGCAGGTTTACTGCTCAGGTAAAAGGGTTGGGCTCCAAAGGTCATCAGTCAGCTAGCCATGGAGCCAGGTGGGAGGTTCCTTGGGCCCTGGCATTCTAAAGGAGAAGGGTGGGGTGTGGACTTTTTTGTGTCCTGATCTGGGCCTCTTTGGCTGGAGAAGTTGGTTGTCCCCTAGTGACCTGCAGTTCCATCTTTTACACTTAGATTGGGACTTGTCCAGGGCAGGAAGAATCGTAAATGTGGAGTTCCTCACCCCGTGGGCTGACTGGCCCCTGCACGGGTGCCAGGGCCTGATTTTGCCACTGTAGGCAGGAACACTGAGTCAGTACTGCTCGATGATGAGCCTAGTAAATACTGCACATCAGAATCTTCTCTGAACAGTCTGCAAGCAAGTCCCACCCAGAGGAAGAACTTAAATGGGCCAATTGCAAGTTGTGGAATTTAGAGACTGAGGGTGCTGTTATCGAAAATGCTGCCATAGTCAAAGTATAATTTGCAGTAAAGGGGAAGTTTAGTTTTAAATCAGGTCTTCAAGGGGTGAAGCATACTGAAGAAAGAAAAGAGAATTCTGAAGCAAACTGCAGGTGTTCAGCTAACCTGACAGCTTGAATCTTTGTACAGAGTTAAATTAACAGCTATGTAGCATCCCCCAATTAGGCCTTTGGTTTATCCCTAAAGTGGTGTGTGAAAATGATAGAGATAACGGAGAAATAGATGGTCATTATATACTTAGATTTCGTAGAATGTTAGGGAACTAAGTCTTGTCTTCTTCAGGAAACAGACGCCAGTGTTTTCTTTGATATCTTGCATAGTCAGTGTCCTGTGTATTTTATTAAGGGCCATAAACTTGTTGACGATTGAAAACGAGGAATCTGACTCTAAATGGAATTGAGTATGGGGCATACTCTGCCCACAGAGAAGAATTCGGTGTGGGGTAGAAGTATAAGAGAATTAAGCAGAGTCCTCAGACTGCAGCCACACAGAAGAGTGTCTTGGTGTGAGCCTTTCTTTATATGAGTGAGTCTTGCCAGGACCCTCTGAGCAGCTCCTTCAGTGCGGGTCTGCAGGGAGCTGGGTGCGGACCAATCATGTGCCCTAGGACTCCCCTTTCTGTTGGGCTCTTTATTATGACTTTCCTAGGGTACTGCCTACACAACTCTCTACACACACGCTGTGCTTTTATTGCTTGACGTGTTTGTATTACCAAGGTCAGCTAGAGGATAGAAACCAAGGGGACTTCGTGATAGATGCATATCTTGGCCCACCATCAGGCGACCCCGTCGATGTGGCGAGAGTGATGTGTTCAGGTGTGGGTGCCTGGCAGTGGGCTTGCTGGGGAGGCAGACCCTGCTTTGGGATCCAGATCTGCTTGAGGGATTCCTGGCAGGATCTTTCGGTGGCCGCTGAGCAGGGGTGTGCTGGCTGTAGCTGGTGCTGCTGTGTCTGGTAGCTTGTGGGCTGGAGCCTCCACAGGAGCGCTCCACTCCTCCGCCCCCCCGCCCTCCCTTGTGAGGGCGCTTGGTAAACGGAACTGGTAGTCCCCGCCCTGGGTGAAGCTGGGAAGGTGTGTGTCCATCGGTGATGGTCCTCTCCGTGGGTCCAGCTGAGGTAGAGTGGGAGTAAAGAAACTAGCAATGGTTTGGTTTCACATTTTTTTTCAATTTTATTGAGGTATAACTGAAGTACCCTAGACTGTACCTACTTAACCTATGCAGTTTGATCAGTCTTGATGTACGTATATACCCCTGAAACCATCACCACGTTCGAGATAAAAACATTCCCATCATCTACACGAGGGAAACTAGTGTTTCGTGGTGACCTCTTCTAGCAGCTGAGTGGCCTCAGACAACCCAGTTCCTGGGCCCTGGTTGTCCCAGAGTCCACATCCATAAAATAGAGTGGGAGTCAGGGGAGAAGTCCTTTGCAGGTTTGAAATTCTAGGAGCTTGTGAGTGCTTATGTGTAATAGAACTATCTCTTGAAGCATTTAGACCAGTGACTCTTTTAAAAAATTATTTATTTATTTGTTTGTTTGTTTATTTATTTATTTAGGCTGCATTGGGTCTTCATTGCTGCACGTGGGATTTCTCTAGTTGCGGCGAGGGGGGGCTCCTCTTCACTGTGGTGCGTGGACTTCTCATTGCCGTGGCTTCTCATTGCAGAGCACGGGCTCTAGGTGCGTGGGCTTCAGTAGTTGTGGCACACGGGCTCAGTAGTTGTGGCATGCGGGCTCAGTAGTTGTGGTTCATGGGCTCTAGAGCACAGGTTCGATATTTGTAGCACATGGGCTTAGTTGCTCTGCGGCATGTGGGATCTTCCCGGACCAGGGCTCGAACCCGTGTCCCCTGCATTGGCAGGCGGATTCTTAACCACTGTGCCACCAGGAAAGTCCCTAGACCAGTGACTCTTAAAGGGATTAGGTGCGTGTGTGTTTGTGCGTAGGTCCTGTACAGTTCAGAAGATCGTATTCAATATGTTGTTTTCATGGTACAAATAATAGAAAATGAAATCTTACAGTCTTTGTGGGGTGGGGGAATACACAGAAGGTGGTGTGAAAAGCTATGTGAGGAACCTGGGTTAAAATGGTTAAAAATACTGATGGGGGGAGAGTTATTCTTATAGTTTGGCTTTCAGGATCTTGGCTTCAGCCCCTGGCTGGCAGTGCAGAGGCTGCACGATGCCTGGAGTTTCCTGTAAAAGACGTGAACCAGCGGGAGTTCGTCAGAGCTCTGGCAGCCTTCCTCAGAAAGTCCGGAAGCTGAAAGTCCCTGAATGGGTGGACACTGTCAAGCCGGCCAAGCATAAAGGGCTCGCTCCCTACGATGAGAGCTGGCTCTACACACGAGCTGCTGCCACAGCACGGCGCCTGTACCTCCGGGGCAGCGCTGGGGTTGGTGCCATGACCAAGATGTATGGGGGGGCGTCAGAGACATGGCGTCATGCCCAGCCACTTAAGCAGAGGCTCCAAGAGCGTGGCCCGTCGGGTCCTCCAAGCCCTGGAGGGGCTGAAAATGGTGGAAAAGGACCAAGACGGGGGCCACAAACTAACACCTCAGGGACAGAGAGATCTGGACAGAATCGCTGGACAGGTGACAGCTGCCAAGAAGCAGCATCAGAACAAATGATGCTGGGTTAATAAATTGCCTCATTCGTAAAAACAAACAAACAAACAAAAAAGCAAGATCTTGGCTTCAAACTGAAAGTTCTGTGCTCAGGTCATGTTTTTCATCGGGAAGTTTTTAGATCATTTTCTTTTGAGAATGAGCAGAGCGGTATTGAAAGGAAGTTACGTTAAAGCAACAAAGGAAATTATGAAAATGCTGAGCTGGTGACCAATTTTTGTCCTCAATCAAAAGAAGTTCCAGGGCTTCCCTGGTGGCGCAGCGGTTAAGAATCCGCCTGCCAATGCAGGGGACACGGGTTCGAGCCCTGGTCCCGGAAGATCCCACATGGCGCAGAGGAGCTAAGCCCGTGCGCCACAACTACTGACCCTGCACTCTAGAGCCCGTGATCCACAACTACTGAACCCCTGCGCCTAGAGCCCATGCGCCGCAACAAGAGAAGCCACCACAGTGAGAAGCCCGCACACCACAATGAAGAGTAGCCCCCGCTCGCTGCAACTAGAGAAAGCCCACGTGCAGCAACGAAGACCCAACACAGCCAAAAATAAAAATAAATAAAATTTAAAAATTAAGAAGAAAAAAGTTCCAGAATTCCTCTCCAACTTGTAAAGCAAGCAAGAAGAGTTAGGAGGCCTGTCAGATGAATGGCGGTTTATGTTAGACACAGAAGGCAGATTCTAGAGGACAGTTCTATCTGTAAACATCGCTGACATCTTTAGTCCTTTCTCCGAAGCAGTCAGGTGCATCACCTATTTTTGGTCTTTATTATCCTTCCCAGTGAGCTGTCAGTGAGGGAACCTGAAACATAGGTGGGTTGGAAGTAGCCAAGTGAAAAGAATCTAGTTGGGAGCATTAATTATAACTTAATTATGTTGCTATTGCCTAACAGTGTAAATACAGTACAACGTAAATAAGTGTGAAGCTGCTTATTAAGGTTCTAGCCACGCCTTTATTAAAGGAAGGAGGAAAGAAAGCATTGCGTGCTCCCTCCTCACCAGAGGTGGACACTCCCTTCAGTCTGTGCTGGGCCAGGCCCTGGGGCCACACCCTCAGGTGCATGGTCCACACAGCAGGGATGGGCAGACTTACTAGTGGACAGCGGTGGGCCTATGTGAGGCCCGTCAGTGGAGGTGCCCTAGACCGTGAACGCCCAGGAGCATTGCCACTGCTACATCCCAGGGCCTGGCGCCCAGTGAGTGTTAAATGCTTGGCTCTCCCTTGTTGAATTTTCATTCATACTTAAAACATTAGATTTAGAGAGGCATAGAGATTATCCAAATTCATTATGAAGGAATGCAGTGTTATTAATGTATCTTACATGCTAAATTTTTCTATAACTAAATTATGGGAAAAATATTAAAAACCACCTTACATCATTGTCGTCACTGTCCAGTCACTGTCTTAACCTGCTTTTGGCCTTTCAGGATAAAGGTAGCAGTGATGCTGACACTGGCAAGCAAACTGAAGCGGGATGACGGTCTCAAAGGGTCCCGGGCATCAGCCACAGCCTCCGACTCCACTCGGCGGGTTTCTGTGAGAGACAGGCTGCTTGTCAAAGGTAATGACCATCCATGTGAGCTGTTCTTCTATCCCATAACAAAATGAAGTCTGCCTGGAGGCTCTTCTGGGAGACGAAGCAGCCTGTTGCTGAATAGAAGCACCTGTTTGAAAATACTTTGAAATATGATTTGCTGTGTCACATACAACAGAAGGACTTTGTACTCTGCACACGCTATGGGAATGCTGATGGCAAGAAAACGGTATTAAAACTGGTGTGTCTTATGCACTTGGGATATTCACTGTAGGGGCTGCCAGAATGCTAGGAGAGGGAGTTAGGTACTAGGAACCAGCAGACTGACGACTCTGGTCTCAGTGCTGTCATTATCCAGCTGGTGTGTGTGTTGGGGTGGGGAGTTGGGGAGGTTCTTCCGTTCTGGACTCCTCGGCACCAGAGTGTCTGACCTGTAAAGGGAGGGACTAGAGTTCGGTAATCTCTTAGGATCCTTCTCTCTTTTATTTATTCACAGCCTGAGGACAGCCTTGTGCAACATTGGTTCTTGTCCCAGAATTAATAATAGAGTGTCCTAGAGCAGTAGTCTTTGGAGAAGGGTTACGTGATGTGTGTGTGTGACTATGCGAGTGTTTGTGTGGAACTTTTGCATGTATCCATTGAACAGATTTACAACTATTGAGTGCAAAGGCAGTTCCCCAGGGTCATGAGGACTACGAAAGATCAAACAGTTTCTGCCTTGAAGGAGCACTCTACTTTATGACACGTGTTTACATTTTTTAAGTGTAAGGAGCTAGGAAGCACAGAGGGTTAAATGATTTGTTAGAACTGTCTGTTTTCATGTTGTGTTAGGTGGACACGGTGGGGGTGGCTGCCATCTGCATGTCCAGGAACAGATCTGATGGTGGGAGACCTGGCGATTATGAATGCCCCGTGTTGGGCCTTCTCAGAAGCAAAGCACGGCTGCGTTTGGGAAGGGGTGGGCACAGGAGATGCCAGGTTCAGGGACATGTCACTGGTGTACTCTCCCCTGTTCTCCCTCTGCCCCTGGATCGTGACTGAGCTCTGGCTTTCCCAGCCTGATGGGTGATAGGTTAAAGATGGAGTCAGAATCGTTTTTGACATTTTGGCAAAATACCTTCTGTGTCAGGGAGAGCAGTAGACTGTATTTAGTTTGTTACAACACAGGAAGGTTTACCCTGCGGGGTCTGGGGCTGTGGCCTGGGCTGCAGCCCCTCACTTGGGTGGCCTGATAGGACTTGAGTCTCTTTCCTGGATGCTGGCTCAAGGGTTCCATCTGCAGAGGAAGCCAGGAGCCAAGCAAGCCAGGGAAGGGGTTTGGCGCTTGGGTCAAAGTCCTTCGAGGGGAGGTTGTTCTAATGCCGGGGAGTTGCGGTGAGGAAGGGGGTCGCAGCTGAGGAGGAGCGGGTGGGAAGCTGGCAAATAGACGGCGCCATCTTCTTTCCCGTCTCCTCGTCACGGTTGACAGCAGCACTTGTCTGCTGAGCACTTGGGGCCAGGCCCTCTGTTGGGTACTTTATAGGGGCAGCTCTTGTTTGACTTTTGCTAAGCCTTGCCAGGTGCGTGGTTCATTTTACAGCTCAAGAACTGAGACTCAGAGGTTCAAAAGCTTGCCCAGTTCACAGCTTTATTGCAGCAAGACAGCCAGACCCACATTTTGGGGTAGGGCAGGCACTTGGGGAACAGACCCAGCAAGCAGAAACTGAAGGAGCAGAACAGAAGTGTGAGTCCCCAGAAGAGAGAACTCAGGGAGGCACAGAGGCTCCACCACACGCCCTCCCGCTCAGGGATTCCGTGAGAGCTCTCAAATGACTCGAGGCCCTGACGCAGCCCAGGGGAGCCCCCTGAGGCCCATGAAGCTGGACTCTGCCCCAGCTCCTAGGACAGGAGATGTCTTTGGCTGGGTTTACAGGACCCAGCTGAGGTCCTTTGATTTTGTGAGGCTTATCAAGGAGAGGTGCAAAACCTCCTCCAGAGGCCACCTGTTTCCATTCTCTCAGAGACACTGGGGATTATTAGGTTTCTGGGCCCAGAGCACTTGCAGTTGGCGGGTGGTTGTGCAGCAAGGCTCAGTGTAACACGCCCCTCGTGTGGCCTGCGCTCTCCATCTGCCTCGGGGGTGGCCAGGCCAGTGTGGGCCGGGCTGACTAAGTGGTGAGTAGTTTGGGCTCGTGGTGGAGGGTAGGTGGAGAGGAGGGGAGGGCCTGACCTGAGAGAGGAAAGCTGTAGCAGAGTGTAGTCGTGTAATAAAGACGCTCTGACTGCTGACGACTGTTTGGCTACACCTCGAGCGCGGCTCCTTCACAATGTGGCAGCACCTCCATTCTGGGGAGGTCCCATGGTCAGGTGGAGCCAGGCGGAGTCCATGGCTGTCATGGGCCTGGTGAGGCACTTGGAGGGGTGGTTACTGTGAGAGTCCCTCCTAGCTGAAACTCCTCTTGGGGACTTTGAGAAAAGTCAGTTGTCCGAGTTCAGTGAGATGGCTACAGTCAGGACTGTCATCTGGGGCTGTGGCTGTGGCTTTGGCTCATGTGAGATGTTACTCGTGAGGATCAGTGAGTAGTAGAAACAGTGTATCAATGCGTCTTTGGGCCTCGGTGCCACGGGCTGGGTTCCCGGGAGTGGGGAATTTGGCATGCGGTGTAGTTATTAAAGGGTATCCTTGGGACTGATGCCTGTGGAGGGTGGTGAAGGAAGCAGGAGCAGGCAGAGGGGGAGGGAGAGCTCTGACGGAGGCCCCATGACAGCCTCTGCTCCAGAGCAGGCGTGGCCCTTCACAGCTGTCCCCAGTCAGGTGAGATGGTCAGGCCTTCCTGCTCTGCTCGACCAGCCGTCAGATGGGTCTGGCCTGAGGTGGGGCTCTGGGCAGCCCACACAGTCCCTGGAAGGGTTGAGAGCTGAAGGCCATCTGCTGAGAGCCCTCGCTGAGAGGGCATCTGGGCCATGCGTCCATCGCCCAGAGGAAAGACCACAGACACTTAGAGGCAAAAATATGTTTTTAGCGGGTCCACTGCCATGCTTGATTGACCATACATGGTGAACTGGCTTGGTGCGGATGGCTGTAAGGTTAACTTGGGAGATCGGAGGTTGACAGGGACACTTGTCCCTAGTGGTGAGGGCCAGTGGTAGCTGCAAAACTGAAGCTCCTGTTCCTTTTCTTGGGATAGTGGTCCCAGTTCTGAAGGTGACAGGTGGAGTCAGCTGTCCCTGGAATACTGCCTCGGAGCAGCTGGCCAGTGTGAGGCTCTACCACACTGGCACCTTGGCCATACCAGCTTTTCATTTGCACCCCTGGGGTCATTCTCAAGGACATCATCCAGGCTGCAACTGGAGAGATGCTTGCAGCAGCAGTCCCTGGAGGGTATAGAACAATCAGGTGTTTCTGGGCGAGGACTGAGGGCTGCTGTCTGCCCTGAATCCTGGGAGTTGGGGACACTGGGGAGAGAGAGTTTCAGTTCTGCGCATTTCCTTTTGGCCCCAGCTCAGGTCTGGGCCTCTCTGGGAGCCATCACCGGTGCTTTCAGCCACAGGGCAGATGGCACTGTGTTTCCGGTGGACCCTTGTGGTTCCGCCGAGTCCGTCAATTTCTGAGTCTGATGATGCTCCCCACCTTCCAAAAAAGCCGCTGTGCAGAATGACCTACTTTCTTGTCTGTCTGAAGCTTGGCACTGTTCATATAATGGGAACATGATTGTGTGTCTCCCTGTCCTTTGACTTGTTCACGTGACAAAGATTTTAGTGCCTGGTGAGTGCCAGCCTCCTGTTAGTGGCCCCTGAAGACCCCAAGGGGCTCCAGGCAGGCTGGCAGGAAGCTTTTGCTAAATGTGGAGATTTGGAATTGAGCTGACTGAGTTCAGGGCCAAGTCTGGAGTTGGGAATGAATCCACAGCCATTGTCCCATCAACCCCTGTGCTCCATGTGGCTCCTGGTGTTCTCTTGTTTTAGCAGCTGTGGCGGCTCTCCATACTCTGAGGCTACTCTGCAGAGCAGAGAGGCCTGGCTGCCCTCCTGCATGGGCTTCCCAGCATCCAAGGTGCAGGTGTCTCCACGAGGTGCCACACGGGGCCTCCTTTGGGTGAGCATTTCTTTGTCCACATGAGCGGTCTGGTCATGTGGTATAGGAACGGCTCCGGTTCAGGGCGCTTCCTGGAAGAGTGGGCGAAAGAGAACCGTTTATTGTTCTCTAGAGCTGCTCTCTCCATGCCAGGCCCTCCCTGCCCAGGACTCTGGAGGTGGGCTCAGGGTTGGCTTGTCATGTTAGCAGGGTATTCAGAGCATTTAGCAGCATTTGAAGCTGTGGCTGTGTGTTCTAATATGTGTTCTAAAAACGAGGGCAGTGGCCCAAAGAGGAGGAGTCCTGCTAACGTGGAGTAAGGCAGCTGGCCCAAGCCTAACCTTTAAATGCTTGGCTGCAGGGTTAAACACCACTGAAACTGCCCGGGGAATTTGGCGGCCCTCAGGTGTGCCGGGTAGCCCGGGAATGGGGGTGGGCAGGGAGGATCTATAGAAGACACGTGAGGGCTCAAGTCAGCTTTGTCTGCTCATGTTGAAAGTGGGTGATACGAGGCCTTGGGGCTCCATTCCCAGAGACTGCGACACGGGCTGTGCTGGTTTTCGGGGTTACATCCTAGTTTCCCCAGAGTGTGGAGGGAGGGGGCCGTGAGTACTCTGGGCCTGCACTCTGCAGTGTGCTGCTAGAAGGCCCTTGGACTGAGTGGAAGGGCTGATGTGGGGCTTGGTGGGGCTCTTGGGCAGTAGCCATGCCATCTCTGGGGATAGGATGATGCTGCTGGGGCAAGTGTCTCCCCCATAAGGGAACTGTGCATGGATGCTGGTGGTGCAGAAGAGGTGCTCAAGGCATAAAGACAGACAGGAGGCTAAGAGATAAAGTTCTAGTTCAGGAAATCGAAGAGGTAGTGGTTCAGGTGGAAAGAGGTAATCAAGTCTCATGGGACATAGCTGCCAGCTCTTCCTGGGTCAAAGGGCACAGCTGCCCTGCCTGGTGTTACCTGATGGGGGCTTGGAGC